TGCATTTTGATCATGCCCGGAATTCTGAAGATGCAACCCTTGGATATGATAGCATCTTCCTCATCCAAATGATTCAGATCTATTGCATGTTCTCCATTACCCTTTTGCATGTTTCTGAATTCCTAGCTGCTGCTGATCTTTTTTAAAAAATAAGGTTATAAAAAGGAATCAGCACTGCATTTGTGTAAAGGCATGTCAATATAGCTAGGACAAGGAAAATTAAGCCCCATTTGGGTGGAAAATAATTTCCTAGTAATTAACATGGCTCGCCAAAAAATATACTACAGGATTAATTAGAAATAAAGATGAAAGGTTTTTTCTTTCTTAAAAAATACACAAGGGAAACAAAATTTTTATAATCAAATAAAAATCTTTCTAAAAAAGCTTCCTTTTTTTTTTTTTTTGTCCTTTCATGAGTTCTTATCATCTATAATTTATTATTTTTACAAAGAAATTATATGCTAAGGGTCTAATAGTATTTGTGTTTGAGGAAAACTTTACCTTATGAAGTTGGGAATGAGAGTTGAGGAAAAGAAGTTAAAAGCTACCAGCTGCTGCTTTTAGCATGAAAATTGTCACCCGAGGAGAAAGGATTAAACTTGGCTATGATATGCTAAAATTAGAGAGGAAGATCAAATAAGAACAACTCAGTTGCGTAGGTATCCATACTGCTTTCAACTGGCACTGAAGGGGAATAAAATTTTTTTTAAGGTTAAATGCCTAATTTGGTCCTTTAATTATTGTATGGATGATTAATTTGATCCCTAAATTAAAAATTTTTTTGATTTGATTTCTACTGTTTATCAATTTGACCCAAAATTGATCTTTTCATTAAAAACTAATTGATATGTCTATTATTTAACGACAAAAAAGATTATTTAATGTTTATGTGTTACGTTAATAATGAGACATCAATTGTTTTTATATGAAAAGACTAATTTAAGGTCAAATTAATAAATAATAGAAATCAAATTAAAAATTTTTTATTTTAAAAACCAAATCAAGTATCTGTATAATAGTTAAATGATCAAATTAAAAGTTTAACATTTTTTTAACTAAGTAAATGGTGAGCCATTGATCATTGTGATTTTTATTAGATATTACGTGAAGGTAGGTGACGGTGGTGAAGGACTGGCATATGCCATCTCATTAATATGCTAGTACATGATTTAATTATTTATGGTAAATAGTACATAATTTATTTATTAATTTTGACTTATGACTTTACAAATGTCCATTTGTCCTGATACCTACAATTCCTTTGAAAAAAAATTATCTAAAAGTTCAAAATTTAAATGTTAATGATTCTTTTCCTCAATTCCCTAACCATATTAGTTAAGAAAAATGACTTCACAAATCGTGCCTTTAATTAAAAGTTAAATATTAATTTTGGTCTTTCAACTTTAAGGTTTTTTATAATTTTTATTCTTGAATTTTTTAATACACTTTTTTGATCCATTAACTATGAAAAATATTTTTTTTTTCTTTTTTTCGTCAATTAATCTGTTAAATTTATTTAAATTTAAATATTTTTTATCCCTCAACTTAAAATTGAAGAACTAAAAATGTACATATATTAAAGTTGAGAGACTAAAAATATGTAGATTCAAATAGATTTAATAGAAAAACTGACAAAAAGATTAAAAAAATGTATTTTTTTATAGTTAATGGATAAAAAAAGTACATAAAAAAGTTGATGGATGAAAATTATGTAAAATTTTAAAGTTAAAGGATCAAAATTGACATTTAACCTTAATAAAATGCATCAATAATGCCAAAAAAAAATGTAGTACTACCGCTGAGAGCAAAGCAAGAGTAGAGGCAGGGACGAGCAAAACAACCGGCCCGATCGGTGGCCCGAAAACCGCATCGAAATGTGGGCTTTAGGTTGGTTAAAACGGACTTCTGGCCCAAAGTCTCAGGTTTGGTCCAAGACCCAAAAATTGGGTCGGTGTTCGGTGCCCAGCCCAGAAACCAAGCAACCGATATAGGCCACCGAGCAACCGAATATTTGATGAATTAAAGTATATATTTTTTTAACAAGAACAATTACTGTTAAAATTATTATATATTTTTAAAGGGGTGAGAGATGAAGAGATAGAGTCGAATACAATACATTCTAAGCTATTCTGTCTTAGGAAACAGAGTGTTATAAATTAATGAATTAAATTATTTAATTTTTATTTACTACTTCCCCTAATTTAACACATTCAACAAATTTTAATATATAATTCGTATGATTATTGTATAAGATTTTTACCCAGCATTGTTGTGAGCTTTAGTAAAGTTAATGTTGCTTGCGTGGTGTTTGACAAAATGCCTGACTGTGAGATTAGGAAACTTTATATTCTAACCAATTTCCTTATAAGAGATTCATTGAAAAGAAAGAGTCCCCAAATCACGAATATTACATATCACTAACTCATGACAATTTTTATCTCGACATGATATGACTTGTATAAAAACAGGTGCTGATCACTTCATGGAATAAATGGTTTGCAAGAAAGCTAGGACGAGAAGGATAGCAGCGACAATCTGAGAAACAATGGCCCACGGCTGCGCAAAATAGTTGCGGGTATAAAAAGCTCGCCATTTAGGCCACAATTTCTGCTGATATTCATTCACCTCCCAGCAAAGCCTCCGGTAATGAAACTCTTTCAAAAAAGCATCGTGGTATAGCATCTTAAAGAACTGTGTCGTGTCATGTGGGTTAAGCCAGTTGATAAGAATCCCACTCTTGCTGAGTTCTTCCATGTCCTCTTCATTGTTGATAAGGTTGTCCAAGAGTATAGCATAGCATGTAACTCTAGGAGAACAATTCGGATAACATTGCTCGTAGCTGATTAGATTTCGAAAAGCAGGTTCAACAGTTTCTTGGATGAGAATTGATGGCATTTCCAGAGTGCCTCTCCTGAATTTGACATCCAAGATGCTTAGTGATCTCACTTTCCTGAAATTGATTCCAGATTCTTTGATGGTGGTGGCAGAAGGAATAGGCTGCCATGATACCGATGACTCTTCTTGGCCTTGTTGCTCTCCAAGTGGCAACACCAAGGAACTTCTTAACAAATCAAGAATGTGCTGGATTTCTTGATTGGCAAAGAGATCTAGTTGGATGGGAGATTTCTCAGATGAAAAAATGTTGTCGAAGAAATCCAAGGCGAGTTGAAGTAGGGACTTGGTTTCACACGGACCACTCGTTAAACTAAACAGAAGCTCAAGCACAAACCAGGGTATTTGATTTTCTAACAAAATCAAGTCATGGTATAAGAACTGAAGCATACAGGAAATAGAGAAAATGGGATCATTTTCACCTTTCTGGACCACGCCAGCATCCTTCTTGAATAGTTCAACAATGAAGCAGCCATCAAGCACCAACATTTCAATGAATGCTCGTTTGCTCAAACAAATTTCTTCTGCGTAGCACTCTCGAGCTTTTGCTTCATAATTTGTGATCTCTCCGATGCATTTCATCAGTGTTGTCTCCGGATCACGTGTTCTGTACAAAAGGCCTTGTAAGTAGTCAAACTTGATCTTCTCTTTGTCTTCAAGATCTTTCTCGCCATGGTGAAAAGGCCCGATGGAAAATGCGTTGGGGATGTAAGCTTCCTTATTGTGCCTACGAAGTATGCTGGGAATCCTGAAGATGCAAGGCGTGGATGAACTTACGGTATCACCTTTCATCTTGCTCCTCATGTTAGATGCCATGGATTCAATTTCTCCCACCATGATCAACGTTTCCCCTCTCCAAGTATGTCTAAGCAAGAATCTTTGTGGGGAAAAATGAAGGTAGAGATACTTCGTTCTCCATGAAAGAATGTGCATACATTTTCTTTCATGAAAGGAATATATTGTAAAATGAATAACATCCATACATCCAGGTTGTATATATCAAGAAAAGCTATCCTATAGCACTAGTTATAAAGAAATTTATGTCTACAATAAATAAGTGAATTAAGATAAAAAAAACCCTAATTATATTTAAAAATTATAAAATTATTTATTATAAGAAATATTAACAGAACTACCAGAGCATTAAGGTCACCCTATTAAGCATCTACAGCAATCGGATCATCCCACTGTCATGCTAATTTTAGTTTTTTTTTTTTTTTGGTTATTTTAATTTATACATTTATTATAACTTTTTATTGTTGATTTGTTAAAGTAAATTTTATTTTTAATATTAATATCACTTAGAATGATTTATAGCTGATAAAATAAAAATTAATTTTTATATAAATTAATAATAAAAATATATAATAAATATATTTTTAATTTTTTATCAATATACTATTTACTTTAAATAAATGTATTAAAAAAAGAATAGTACCATACGACAGCACACCATATCCTCCACTTTACTCAAGGAATCTTTTTTTTTTTTTTTTTGAACTTAGTGGAAGCTTTTCAATATTGTCATACTGCATCTACGGCAAAACCTTATCTTATGAATAAGAATAAACAAACAAATAAGATATGGTTTAAAAGAAAATTTAAAGTAAACTCAAATCAACAGTGATAATAAAAAATGATAAATAGTATACATGAACAACCTTAAAGGAATAAGTTTGTACAATTTTTTTTAGTTGAACGATTTAAATAATTGAACATCTTTCAATTTATTCTTGTAAGAGTTGCACTTGATCTTCAAAACATCAAAGTGGGTAAATCCAAACAGGCTGTGATCATTCCCCATAATTATCATGAAAGGTTTGATGGATACCAAATCTAGATAAAGTAGCAACTACTTTTTAAGATTTGTACGGTGGATCAATTAATCATCGAATCTGA